ATCTGTCGAGCGAAACCGTTAATTTTGACAGAGTTCGATAGAGCTCTAAGGAGTCCGCAGAGGGCCATTTCAAGTCGATAAGAGACCTTTTCGACGCTTTGCGTTCGTTATTTTGTCATTTCGATATTTTGCGTTCGATATTTTGCCTTTTCGATATTCTGCGTTCGATATTCTGCCTTTCCGATATTTTGCGTTCGATATTTTGTCTGTTCGATATTTTGCGTTCGATATTTTGTCTTTTCGATATTCTGCGTTCGATATTTTGTCTTTTCGATATTCTGCGTTCCATATTTTGCCTTCTCGATATTTTGTCTTTCGATATTTTGTCTGTTCGATATTTTGCGTTCGATATTTTGTCTTTTCGATATTCTGCGTTCGATATTTTGCCTTTTCGATATTTTGTCTTTCGATATTTTGTCTTTCGATGTTTTGTCTTTCGATATTTTGTCTTTCAATATTTTGTCTTTCGATATTTCACGTTTCGATATTTTGCTTTCGATGTTATGCTATTCGATATTTTGCGAGTTCGATATTTTGCAATTCGATATTATGCAATTCGATATTTTTCGATGTCGATATTTTGCGATGTCGATATTTTGCGGTTCAATATTTTGCGATTTCGATATTTTGCGCATTCGATATTTTGCTTTCGATATTCTGCCACCTCGATAATTTGTCTTCGATATTTTGCTATTCGATATTTTGCTTTTCGATATTTTGTCCGGAACCCGTTCAACCCCTTTCTCAGCAGGGTGCGAAAATCCAGGACCCCCAGCGGGGCACGGGTTCAGATCCATAGTCACAGACCTCCATTTTCAAAAGGTCCGGTAAAATTGATTACAAGGCTCAGTTTTCCAGCGTCTTTTAAAAACAGCTCATATCGACAAATAATTTTGACAATCTAGTCAAGTGGTCAAATGATCGGACAAAAAAATAAAAGCATAAATATTTGCAATTCAAGCGCGGTTTGCATGCCATTGCTGACTCATCATCACGTTTAATGTTGGTCTCGTACGAATATCATATCAGACAGGGCGCAGACGCCACCGGGCGTCCCAGTAGTGGCGTTTTATTGCATCTCAATGCGGCCTCCGCTACGATCTGTGGTCAAAGTGCAGTGAGCATCCTGCATAGATTTAGCACTGAGCACGGGCCGAATCAGCCTTGGCCTGGAACGGCTTTACCGATCGGCGGGCCGCCAGCTGCTCAAGGGCGCACCGGCCCGAGAGGGGTAGATATACCGTCACTGGGGACGTCCTCAAGGGTGCCAGCGAGCTGCCGAATTCAATACTCCGCTCGCCAGAGGATATCGCCGACTTCAACAGCCTGTCTCCATATACCGCCGCAGGCTGAATTCAATGATGCACATACCGAAACTAATCATCATGTTGAATGTCAACTGTCAAGAGAATTCCAAATCGACATCACTGAGGCAGCCTGAGAAAATGCTGTTGCGGTCTATGAAGATAGCCGGAAAGTCTTTGTTGTCATAAATACCTGCTATCAAATTATTTCTTTTCATTTTTATTCATTTTGCATTGTTTTCATGATATGTCCTAACTCTGGGCTACTGGTGTCACCGGTATGTCCTAACAGAATGTCGTCGACCTCACTGTTCGGTTACAAGATGATGACAACAGCTTCACTCATACGTGGTATGAAGTGTCACTGGATTCATCGGCTGGTAGCCAATGGACGGAGTGCCGTCAGCCAGCAAATAAAAAGGGATCCTAGACCACTTAACCACGAAAACGGCTAAAACGTGCATGTATGTTACTTCATCGGTTTCCATTGAAGTATCAGTTTATGTTTTCGCCGTTCGTCTTTGCATCTTCGCTCGCGTGACTACCCATTTGGCAGGGTCGCGGATTACCGATGGAGAGAGGTCGAGGAGGAGGGGGCGGGGGTCTACGAGCGCGTCCCCAGAATGCCCGATCGGCGCAGCTCAGCCACCTATACGGGCGTCGGAGCTGGGAGAGCTGGGACCAGGCGGCGCACGAGCGGGGGCGTCTTCGGCCGGTCGGCACACCCCGCCGCCGGCTTAGCGGACGGAGAAGGGGCCCTTTCGCGGCGCTCAGAGCCTGCACAAGGCCATAGGCAAGAGCCGCTTAGTCACCGAGATGCCACCACGTACGAGCCACGTCAGGACGGCTTCACCTTAGCTGGCTCCGGCCTGGGGAGAGGCGTTATTGACAGATAGACATTTACACCGTCCAGCTCAGCAGACGTCAGGATTGCCGCACCGCAGTCCGCAGCTGGTCACTGCTTCTGAATGTGTCACGTCCCTGCTGGCCGGTTTGTCTAACATCGTGCCTATAATTTGTATGCATAAACATGAGGAGTAAGCATTGTGTTGATGAAGAGAAGCCGGGGGGGGGGGGTACAACCACCCTCGCCGTTTCGCCTCTAGTGGAGTTAGAGCCTCGCGTAAAAAATGAACGTATGCGCCGCTATAAGACGCAGCGATTGATATCGATTTTAAGGTTTCAGGTCAGCCGGCGACCTCCGAGGTTAGGTCAAGTGGCACAAGTCACGGGTTTAGTTTTTTTTAATAACTTCGCAAATGTCTTCTCGAGTCCATTGGTGGCTTTCCTGACTCTCTAGCTTTATTTGATTGGGAGTTATTGACGAAAAACACGCATCACCCTAGTAACGTCATACTCGTAAATGACGTTACGCCAGGTCAACACTCAACAATGCTGAAGTGAAGCGTTTGGTCTTGCAATGAGTGCATGAAATCACGAATAATTCCATGTGTTTGAGATAGTTTTAGATCAATCCCGGCGCCAAAATAACAGTTTCTATATTTCCCTATTGACCGTGAGGTCACGTGACCGACCGGACCTCATGTGACCTGTAGGAAAAATCCGAGATATACAAGTTGTGAGACTTCTGGAGAATACTACGTCCTGTAAGTTTCATCTTCCTGTGAAAGTTCCTCTGGTACTGAGGGCGTTGCAAAGCTGCGACATCAGAGGACCGTGTAGAGATTTATCTATGACGCCATAGGTCAGGGATCTGACCAGGCCTGAAAATGCATTTAGTGACATAAGCTCCGGCTTGAGTCAAAGGTCAGTTTTGCCAAGTTTCAGCTCTCCTTCGTCGGTGTGTTCTGAGCTATCACGGGAAAACGTGGTGGGAGCGCCCCCTCGGCAGGCGAGAGTTATTACTATTGTTTTTTTGTTTTGTTTTTTAACCCGCGCCCCAGTGGCGGTCTCGGCCAACTTCGCCCTAGTGAGGGGGGGGGGGGCATATGTTACCACCCACCTCTAACTCAAAAACTAAGAGGGCTAGAAAGACGCGGTAAAAAGCAATCGATAGCTCTCAATGCGTACGTTTGAAAGTATTCCGGTCATTTTTCACCTTAGAGCAATATTAGGGTCACCAGAGGTCATCAAAGGTCAAAATTTGCCAATTGTCATTATATTTTTCAGAAAACATGCCGCTATCTCAGGAACTATGGTAGCTAGAAATACGCATGATAGAACAATCGATAGCTTTTGAACTCTTCTTTTGAAAAGGTCATTATCAATATTGACCTCAGGTTAACGGTTTAGCCTCCAGAGGGCAAAAACTCCAAAAATAGCTGTTTTTACGAAAAGTGTTTTTCGCCAATAACTTTCGACTACAAAAAGCCACGACATTTCTATTGCCAGAATCGTGTTCCCCTCACCGAGACGCGTCGAATGAACTATAATTTGACCTTGAAAGGTCAACTTGAAAATTTGACCTCAGGTCAAGGTCATGACCTGACCGGAAAAGGTCATGTTGCATATCAGTCGATGCGTCTCAACAAGACAAACACAATGAGACCATCCCCAGCGTTCTATCTGTTTCCAATCGCGAGTTATTGGCAAAAAACTGTTTGTAGCCTCAAATGACCTCGGATGACCTTTCTAGAGGCTATCAGCAAAAATGACACCTTGTTCATCACGAGTGGACTAAATCATTGTGATTCTGAAATATTTGGACTGTTCCTATGCGTACACACGGATCTAGAGGCATTTTCATTTTTCTCCATTGACTTGTAATGGAAAGGGCATGCCACTGACCTGACCTTTTGTCACGGATATAAAAAATCCGAGATAAACAAATTGTAGGCACCCATAACAGCATGCAATCCACCAAGTTTCAAACCTTTCTGACAAACACTGCAGGCTGGACATGATTGCAAACTTTTTTTAAGGCTTGGTCAGTTAACTTGACCTGGTGACCTGACCTGACATGACCTGGGGTCAAAAATTTCACACATTGTCCAAAATTGATGTATCAAAAGCTACCCCAAGCGGCGCGGCGCTACGCGCCGTGGTTTTTTATTCACATGCAAAAAACGTGACAGGGTGGTAACATATGCCCCCCCCCCCCACTGGGGCGAAGGTTAACTTTCGAGCAACAGTGAAGCTATAGCAATGTGTTTTGATGTGGCGAAGTTGTAGCTGCCTTCAGCAGAAGACTTAGACATCTTGACTTTTCACGTGGCACGCGCTACGAGGATCCGACGTAGTCCCTAGGTGCTTCAAGGGTAGTCAGTTAAGGGGAAGAAGGGATGGGGCTACCCTACAGAAAGGGCCGCACGCAGGTCAATCGGTCCAGCGGCTGTCTAGATATAAGCCTCTCAAAAGCGTTACAGGCCGGGCCGGGCCGGGCCGGGCCGCTCATACTGAGATTTTCCCGTTATATTGAGAAGACTCGCTTCGCGTTTCGCGCTCGCTCGTAACTATTGTTTCATCTTTACGACTACAAGCAACATTCTGTTATGTTCAAAATAACTTCGTTCGACCGTTTATCAATAGAAATCTCCAAGCTGCTGAGGTACGGGTAGATACGTTTTTTTTTGGTAGCGGTAGCTCGCGCGTCCCGCTCTGCGGCGGACACATTCACGGCCGAGGGAGATGTCATCGCCCGGCGGCTCGAAGATGCGTGGCATTCCAACAGGCGAGGATTATCCGGTGGGTTAGCAAAAACACCCTTTCGTATATAAGGTGGCCTCTCGGCTCAACCATTGGCAGTCGGCTGAAGACATCCATTTGAGGAAACATGAAGCTGGTAAGCGGTCTCCGAAATCATTCAGCCATTCAACTGAATGCATCATCGTTGCGCGCTTCTATTGTCTTGTTTTGTTCTGCATTTTCCTTTTTTAAAGAATATCAGCTATTTTAGGAACAACTTGCCCAGAAAGGTATTGATACCACTAGAAAAAAAGTAATACCTTTCGCTTCAAATGTTTCGTTATTATCACGATTCACGATCGATCTTAGTTTTCACGAAATGTTATTTAATTCATTGTTTTACATTCGCCATATATTTAAATGCCTAATTGATAATACCTTAGCGATATCAAGATGAACAACCGACTCACCGTCACGTCTGCTCCTCTGACAGGTGGTGATCTGCGCTCTGGTGGCCCTGGCCGCGGCCCGGCCGCAGGATTTCGTCGATGACTCTCCAATCCTCCAGGAGATCAAATACAAGACGCTTGAGGATGCTGGCATCCTGCGCATGGAGTCGAACATGAACGAGGACGGCTCGTTCCAGTACGGCTTCGAGACCACCGACCCGATCCAGCAGGACGTGGCTGGACAGCCCAGACAGATCGGAGAGGAAGTTGGAATGACTATGCAGGGATCCTATAGCTTCCAGACCCCCGAGGGTCAGACCATCACCATCAACTGGGTGGCCGACGAGAACGGCTTCCAGCCGCAGGGCGAGGCCATTCCTCAGGACGCGAACTCGCAGTCACAGGCTTCTGAGCAACTCGAGTTCAACGAGCAAATTTAACGGATCATACCCTAGTGCCTTCACCCTGGTGACCGCCTGACAACGGCTGAAATGCTGACATTAGCTTCTGATTACATTGATTTTGTAATCCAGTGTTGTATGAACATTGTTATAATTATTCATGTAGAATAGCTGAGCATACTGAACATGCAATACAACTCGTGTTCTTAACCATGTATTTTCTCCTATTCACTACACTATTAGTATTTTCGAAACAACAAAATGCTGACGAGCGTCATGACGGTGAACTGAGCCGAGGACCGAATGGCTGGAGTCAGGGGTAAACCTATCTTGGACTCGCTCCTGGATCACGGAGCAATGTGGAGATCACACATGCCTATTACAACAACTGATGACCATTGTTCCAAAGCAATTACAAAAATAATGACGTAAAAGGTACAAAAAAAGTTCACCAGTCATTTTGTAGGATCGAATCTCAGGTCATGTGACTGAAAGAAACTGAGGTCATCGTAGGAATATTCAAGGATCTCAAGTGACTCCAACAAGTTCTGATGTAGCATCAAATCTCAAATATTTTGGCATGAGCCTACGCCACGTTTGAGTCTTTACTATCCGTTTTTTTTTTGCATTATCATTAAAAGGCTCATGATCCACCTCAATCGCTGAAAATTAAAACATAAGATTGCTCCGATAGCTTTTGTGACAATCAAGAAAAAATATTCGTGTCTTCCATGAACATCTGACATAATGTCCCGCCCAAATAAGACACAAGAATAAGTCACATACAAGAAAAATAGCGATGAATGGCACCGTGTCGGCTACGAAGTAAAGGAGAATGCAATGGAAACAAAACAAATCATGAGCTTTAAAAAAGAATGCATAGTCTCATACCAACATCGCAGATGAAAAGTCACCACTGCTTTCAGCTAATCACTGTCATGCAAGGTAGCAGAACCGTAACCGAAAGGCTCTCATTTATTCGGTTTTACTATAAATGCTGATGCTTGTTTGGGTTTACGGTTAACCAAGAAAGAGCGTGTTTGATCGATTGCAGTCATTTTGATAGCACCGAGTCTATTTGCACAGCAACACGTTCTGCTTTAGTGCCACAAAGACTTGGATTGGAGCAAGGATTTGAGAAGAAATGGCGTTGACATGACGTCTAAAATTTCAGACCAAAGTCTCTCAAGGTCAGGTCACCAGGTCACGTCAAGTGACCTCACCTCATAAAAGTTTAGATGCCTAAGTTAAGGTCATTTTTGCGACCTCTCCATTTTATGCTAATGGAAGAATATTGAAAAGCGCCTCTTTGAAACGTACGTCATTCTAAACAATCAAACACCGAATTACAAGTAACAATGACACACCAAACTAAAAAACGGCACCCGTGACCCCTCTTTGTGCTCCTGAAGTTTACTCAGGTCACGAATGGTATTAAACAGTTTTTTGCGAATAAATTTTGATAGAGGCATGCTAGAGCGATGAAAATGCCTTTCATGTGTTCAACTCGACGTCGGATATGCAACATGACGTTTTCCTGTCAGGTTTTTACCCTGAACTGAGGTCAAATTTTCAGGTTGACTCTTCGATGTCAAACCATAATTCATTCGATTGTGACGAGAGGAGCACGATGCCGGTAAAAGTAAATCGTTCAAGGTTTGAGTCAAAAGATGTTGCATAAAAACTGTTTCCGCAAAAAAAATGTCTTCTTTGGCAGATCGTGTCCATTGCCGGCAAAACCGTTGACCTAAGGTCAAATCTGAAAGAAATATTTAGAAAGAATGTTAACCCGCGCCGGCACAGGCCATTTTGCGTCCTTCGACGGCACAAGGGGGTCGGTACGATCCCCCCCCCTCGCGTTTGGCCCCTGATCGAGCAGGAGCTTCGCGGAAAAAACGAGCGTGCTGCCCGTCACAAGACGAAGCCGATGCTATCCAATTTTAAGGTCCTAGGTCATCGGGTAACCTTCCAGGTCATGTCAATGACCCGAAGATCGGGGAAATCGGGACCTGTTAGTAAGTTGTAAAGTGTGGCTGCTACGGGGTTTTCTGGGGTGCTGATCACGAATATCGTGTTAGTTTTGATCAGAGATGATGTCTTTAAGCATTTAGACCAGGTCGGGTCAGGTCAGGTCAGGTCAACCGGTAGGGGTCGTGACGGTATTCGTAATACGTGTCAACCGCCTCTGACAGCTTCGTAACATGCTGCGATGGCACCAAAACTACTTCGTAAATGCTCAAATGGTTGCTAAATTCGAAATCAGCTCCAAAAACTAGCCTAGAAACATGTAAAACTCGAAAAAGTGAACCGAGGTCACCTAAGGTCAATGACCTGACCTGATCTTCAGGTGACCTTGGCATCCACCCTTATGCATGGGAGCAACATCAAATCACATGTTTGAACGTTTAAAACCACGAAAAGCTTACAAACGCGCGGCTAATGCGAGCCGACATACGCTAAATCGCGATTCCGGCCAAGCATGGTCTCGGAAAGTAGGTCACAGGTCAAAGGGCATTTGGGTCAGGGTCATACAATTTTCAGGGTAGGTGTAAAATTAATCAATGCGAGGGTACTGAAAGTTTCGTCGCGATCGGCCGCTTTTTACGCGAGTTATTCGCGAAAAACCTTAGGGGGGGGGTTGCATCAGCCCCCCACCCCTGTGCCGGCGAGGGTTAACCCGCGCCCCGTTGGGCTCTGCCGAGCAACGCGCCCCGTTTGAGGGGGGGGGGGCAATTTGCCCCCCCCTAAGATCTCGAGAACCACGCAACCTAGCGACAAGCGGCAAACGGTGTTGGATAGCCCTATCAGGGAACTACCTTGTGACCCAATTTTATTGACCTAGATCAAACCGATGACGTCACAGGTCAGGTCAAAGGTCGAATTTTCACCGTTTACAGGCATTTCAAGAAATGCGTTGTAAAATCCAGTAAAATGCATTTCATTGAAAATCATCGATGGGGAAATGTTCTTCAAACACATATTTTGCTATTTGAGGTCACTGATACCAGGTCAGGTCACAGAGGTCAGGTCACTGCAGGTCACAATATGAAAGTGTCGTGTGATACATGTTTTATGGTCCATTTTACATGACAAATGTGATTATGTGGGTCAAGCAGACTTTTGGGCCAGCGTAGGTCACGTTTTGGTCAAGGTCAGGTCAAGGTCAGGTCAAATTAGGTCAAATTTCAAAGTTAATATTTTTGCATAAAATGGGTATCTATTCGATGCAGCTCGTCACAGGGAGTTCAATGGTGGTCTTTATTTTGCCCTACGTGGTCTAGAATCGCTAAAAATTGAGTTCAAAAATTTGACGTCATCATTTTGAACAGTTTTTTCGCTATAACTTGGCCAAAAAACGAGATATCGATCTTAAATTTGGTATGTATATAGAAAGCACAGGGTCTATCATATATATTCCGGTTTTTTCGAAATTCGGAATTATTTTGGATTTTTTTTTAGTTTTTCTAAAAAACTCAATTTTTCGAATTTTTGGGGGTCAAAAACCCAACATTTTAAAAATCCGAGATAGCAATTTTGTAGCGCAGCTTTTTGTCTACTAGACCATATAAAGATCTTTGAAATTGCTTAGTAACTGTAAATTTGGTGAGCGTTTCAAGATTGCATGTTTTTTTTTTTTTTTTGCTCATTTTTGCTCGGACATGACCTCAGTTTGACATCAATAACTCCTGACCTAAGGTGACATAAGACTTGAAATTCGGTGTGAAGGTGTCAAATTGATGCCCGGGAAGGAACTGAAAATTTGGCGGCGCTGCGCGCCGCCGTTTTCTTGCTATTTAGGAAAAACCACAGGGGGGCCAAAATGCCCCCCAACGGGGCGAGGGTTAATAGGGCTATCAAAGGCGTTTTTCCAGGGCGATGTAGCAATATTAGTTTTCGAGTTAGGCGCCGGGCTAGGTGTCATATAACTTCCCTTTGTCAAAATAAAATACAACTTCGTTTGCTGTCGACCACCCATTTGAAAGTCTTGGAAGAAAATTGGGGGTAGATGGCGTTTTTTGGGCGAAACGCACCTTTTACGCTGTCACTTGCACATCGCAGCTGCTTCTTATTTCCCTAAATCAAGCCGTTTGTCAAGATTATCTCCCTTTATCGTTAATCTGCTGAACTGACCGGTAGCAGCGCAGAGCACCCTGGTTAGAGCAGCAGTCACCACTGTCGCTAATACCACTAAGCAGATCACCTGTCGATATCTCCGACGAGCGGTCACGTACCGGGAAAGGATGCGTAGCATACCAACAAGTGCAGCCAGTTCGGAAACAAAAACAATCCAGTCGGCCTATAAAAGAGAGCTCCGAATCTCACAGTAGCAGTTCGCTCCTAGCATCGAAAGAGATTCAATATGAAGCTGGTAAGTGAATCAGACGCGCTTATCCTCTGAGTTGCATGCATCTCAAATAACTTGATATATTTGTATGATGAAGTTGCTCGTACATCTGTGCGTGTATTATCTGTGTGTGATCTGCATGCTTTACATGGCGCTGTATGTAGACATGCTCTTAGCTTTCGTTTGTTGTGATTTGGTTTTATCTCCAGTATGACCATCTTCTCCTCTGTCAGCTGGTGGTCTGCGCTCTGGTGGCTCTGGCCGCCGCCCGGCCGCAGGACGAACCCAAGTTCAAGACGCTCGAGGATGCCGGCATCCTGCGCATGGATTCGACCATGAACGAGGACGGCTCGTTCCAGTACGGCTTCGAGACCACCGACCCGATCCAGCAGGACGTGGCCGGACAGCCCAAACAAATCGGAGAGGAGATCGGCATCGCCATGCAGGGATCCTACAGCTTCCAGACTCCTGACGGTCAGACCATCACCGTCAACTGGGTGGCCGACGAGAACGGCTTCCAGCCGGAGGGTGACGCTATCCCGTAAACGTTGACTTTCTAGGTACCGGCGATGTCTTATGGCAGAACAAAGGACTATTCAGTGACGTGGTGACATGATCGTCGTGGCTGCAGAGAAACTATCAAGACCCTGCTTGTGCGATGGGTGGTTCCTGCTTTGCTGTCTTTCTGTCTTGCCTATCCGCAAGACTAATCTTCCTATACTGTCACGTAGACTAGGTCAGCAAGCTGAACACTGAATAAAAGAAGTGTTCTGACATGATGTTTTATATTATGACGTCACATGATAATGCATAAGTGTTGCTGTCCTCATATCAATATCTGCATTCAAATAAGTTGCCTCATTGATTCCAATGGACAGTAACAAACGCCGGTACATTAAGAGGATGCAATTATGTCGGGGCTAAGACGCTCAACGATGGCGTGCGGTCAGCTGATCACGTGGTTCGGGTCAGCGGTCTCAGTCAGCCCAAGAGGCTACGCCCGCCGTGGGGGGGGGGGGTCAAAACTCGGCGGCACCAAACGATTCCAAACGTGAAAGGAAGTTGGGCCGGCCCTCTCAGGCCTTCAGCTTCAGTGTTTCGGGGTCTGGATGGAGCAGCGACATTGCCTCACGACTGTATTGATATAGTTGTCGACTGGAGCGACGGAGATTGCACTAGTAAAACTCACCGGCATTTCGAATTTGGCGTCATCAATGAAATAGGGTGGAGATAATACGACCCATAGGCGGCGGAACGGGGAAGGCACCGGGGCACCGTGCCACCCTTTGATTTTGGCATTTTAATATTAGCCCTATGGGCGTTGCATGGAAAGAATGAGACCAAAAGTCGGCAGTGCCCCCCCCCCCCCCTTAATTGAAGGTGTTCCGCCGCTACTGATACGACCCATCCCTCCGACTTGGGCCTAGGATTTTCATGGAAATGAAAACGGGTTCGTCCATACGTGTTTAAGTTAACGGCCAAGGATTGGTAAAAATGTTTACGGGCACCTATAAGGTCAACGGGTAAGGTCAAGGATCGAGTCAATCCGGTGAACCGGGCGTGGGCAAGGTCGGGTGGTGGATCCGTGGTGTCACTTGCAGCAAGGATAGCTTAGCATGATGTGTAGGTACCCGGGCTCTAAGCCACCCATCCATCGATTTGGACTACCCATCTAAAAAAATGTTGACTGATTGGTCTCAATAAATGACGCGTCGGTCAGTGCATGCGCTTATCACTTGCCTGCGGTTCAAATTATACGTATTGCTGTTCATATATTTCCCTATTTCTTGTTGGTGGTCAGGCCATTCATACCTATCAAAGATTTTCCACCATTTGCGACATTCCTTATCAGAAGCAGTCAGCCACCGCCACAACGCTGGATGACATGGTGTAAGATGACCCGCAGTAAGAAATCATCTAGTGCTCGCTAAAGACATGTATTGTGGGTACATAATATTTACATCGCATCAACTTCATAGTTCGATGGCCCAGTGCACTCAACGCGCCCAGAAGGAGGTTCATCTCTGCAAGAGAAGCATCTGTAGTATATTCAGATAATATCCAGTTCTGAGAGGCGTATGTGGCCTTGTGACATTCTGAGTGAGCCCACCCAAAAGCTGAAGAGGAGGGTCCAACATATGTTTAGATGAGGCCCACAGGTGCAGTAAAAAGGCGCTGGGTGCCACGCACTGGTGTGGGGTCCACAACAGGGGCGTTCGGCGCCTCGGGAGCCACCGGGATGGCGTCGCCTTGCGGCTGGAAACCCTTCTCGTCGGCCACCCAGTCGATGGTGATGGTCTGACCCTCAGGGGTCTGGAAGCTGTACGATCCCTGCATGACGACAGCGATTTCCTCTCCGATTTGTTTGGGCTGTCCGGCCACGTCCTGCTGGATCGGGTCGGTGGTCTCGAAACCGTACTGGAACGAGCCGTCCTCGTTCATGGTTGACTCCATGCGCAGGATGCCGGCATCCTCGAGCGTCTTGTACTGGGGCTCCAGGTCCTGGGGCCGGGCGGCCGCCAGCACCACCAGAGAAGCCAGCAGGAACTGCAATACAGATTGATGTTTGGTTTTGTGTTAGATTTAACGAAGTTTGGCTAAGGCCACACATTGGTATTGTCAGCGATCTAATGAGAGAAACATTTCTACTGGCTGTATAATCTCGAGTTGACCACATCGATATTTCCATTAATCCAGCGTAACTCGAAGGCCAGTCCAATCGCTTGAGATTTGAACTATGAGGCGTAGTGCTATTTTGGGGTGTCTTACTGGCATGCAAAATACACTCATGCACCTATGGGTCAAAAATAGTGTTCGCATTTGTTGTTATTATTATTATTATTATTATTTTTATTATTATTATTATAATTATTATTATTATTATTATTATTATTGTGCAAAGCTACTTCTATGGAAGTGGCTATAGAAGTAGAAAAACGATTTTGATCCTGATGACATCTATAAACATTTATTGTACTACCTGCTGATGTAGAACGCTAATATTACCTTTGCTTATAATAAGTTGTGCACTGTGCGGCTATACCATAAACGGATGTTTCGCTAGGCAGTCACACTATGCCATGCCAATACCAATTACCGTTCTAAGACGCATCTGATACGCTGAAGTTTGTACATACAACTCACCAGCTTCATTGTCGAGTCTGCGGATCAAATAATTACTGACAACTGCAGAGGCTCTCTCAGGCTTTTATACCGCACCAAAGCCAGCGGCATGTCAGGGTGACCAATCCGCAAAAATGGGACATCGAAAACCAGTTTTCGCGTGATTTTCTTACTCAGCACATGACTTTATTATTTGCCATGGCATTTTCAACTATCTTGGAACTCGATGTCGTGATATTATTAGAACCACAGTTTTTGCCAGTGTAGGTATACATTTCTTGTCGCATCGGTGGTCGATCAGCGGATATGTTCATCACGTGCCGTGATCGCGTGCATCATGAGCGTGCGGCTCAGGTGAGATAATCGTGCATACTGCATATGTTGCGCTGCATACTTCCAGCATTCAGAGCACACACCACTTGTATCACTAATTGCGACTTATCTGATCGGCAGAATTCAACCATTGTCACAGCGCTGTATAATAGAAGTGACACGTAGGGTTCAGTTAACTATCGGCCAATTTATGTGATCTCTGTCGTGGCCAAGTTATGTGAGCGGGTGGTTTGTACACAGCTGATGGCGATTCTTGGCATCTAACAATGCACACAATGCAGTTTCCGGCGAGGCCAGTCAGTGAGATGGCGCTGCTCAACGCTCACAACCGACAACATCGATCAAGATAGATGACGTCATGGCATGATCGAGCATTTTGACAGCTGAAACGTCCATGGCACTTGGCAGTGGCGAACGTGACCGCCTCTTGTGCATGCTGGAAGGGCACGGCGCGCGGCGCAAGAGGTTCACATCCCATTGCTGCGAGGACGTAGACTGACTGTGCGCGCGGGTCATACGCGCTGAACGTTAGATGCGGTATGGTCCAGGGCTCTATTTTGTGTCCGCTGCTGTTCATCCTCTTCATGCACGACGTACCACCCCACATCCATCATTGTAGGATCGTAATGTGTGTACGCTGACGACACCCAATTCCTAATGATGCTTGAAGCCTTAACCCGCGAGTTGCTGGGGGGGGGCGTTAAACGCCCCCACTTTTTTCGCCGGGCCATAGCATAAAAACGGCGCGCCGCAGGCGCGCCAAATTTTGGGTACCTGTAGGGAATTGATTAAAGTTTATTGTGACAAAGTTTCAAAAAAATCGGTCGGAAAATTTTTGAGATATCGAGATTTTAGTGACGTCATGATTTCTGACTTTTCGACCAAAAACGGCATATGTTCAAAAAATCATATAAAATCACAGAATAGACATACAGACATGCCGTAAACGCCATTAGACTGCCAATACCATGATCAATCAAATGGCTATCTTCGATTATTGATTGTCGTTCCGCATTTTCCATAATCTTGAACTGAATCTTGGCAATTTCTCGTGACTACTTCACGACCATGATACATGCATTTCTTAAATTGAACTTTTTGAGCCAAACACGTACACATATGATAAAATGAATGTCACCATCGTGTTCTACGCCCCAAATTACCTATAAAACATGTGTCACAGGCTGCTAATATCAGTTTTGATTTTCGGGGATATGTGCCTACCCGGTTGACCTGACCTTGACCCTGACCTATGCTTGACTGACCCCCTACATGGAGCTGACACTCTTGTAGGCCTTATATGATGGATTGTGCACCGTTTTGACAGAGTTTATGACGAGAGGCGCCCATTGCGAAGTCCTGAAGTCCATGCTACTGAAAGCCCGATTTCAGGTGTTTGACCTGACCTTGACGCGACCTGTGACCTCAAAATTCAACTTTTAAGTACTCATCTGAAGCGTCTCGTCGCGTTCTTTCGTTTGCCGCCTCGTGCGTTTCGCTGCGCCTATTGGTTCTCGAGTTATCGGCTGGGGGCGTTTAACGCCCCCCCCCCCAGCAAACGGTGGGTGGCGAAATACCCCAGCAACTGCCGGGTTAAAAGCACGGGTTACAATCCTTCTTAGTTCTTACCGTGCACAGCACTTACAGGGTCCACTTAAAATCGTCAAAAATCTAACCCAATTAAAACAAAGATGGTCATTTTTAGGTCGCCCAGCCACAACACCAATTAATTCAGAGCATTCCGTCAAATTCGGAAATGATGATTTTCTTTTCCAATGAAATCGTCAGTGCCGTGGTTTTCAGTGACCAGCACTTGTCACGGAGCTGTTACTTCAGTGCAGTCGTCCAGCGATGCTACCGGATGCTGATGAATCTTCGCGAAGCAAGCACGAACTGGCAAGATGTGTCAGGCGACCGTTCGTTGACAGCCTCGTCTCTCTCTCCGGCCTCCGCACTCCTTACTGTAAAGCAGTGCGGGAGGGAACTCATGAGGGCACACTCCTTTGACCTCTTGACTTAGAGGGTGCGGGCGACTCGCCCGCCTGAACAGTTCATCGGAATAAGGCCCTGCCCCACCCGGAGTAGACCAGTGCCACGCGCTTCAGAATAGTTAGTTGGGACGCGATACCGATTGTTAAGCCCGTGAAAATATGATCAAACACCTCTGCGCTGTACCTCCATGACCGTACCTCGCTCACGGTCAGTCCTGTTTCGGTAGATTTTTCCGGCAATTCATCTTTTTCCTCCATTATCCATATATCATTGCTCTGGACTGCGAATAGCTGATGTCCAAACTATTCGTTTCTTTAATGGTGTGTGTGTGTTTTTTTCATTATCAATGCTCGTTTCTATGTCTCTTATAGCAGAATATTTTTTGTTTTCTGGCGTAGGTGGCAAGTCATGTTGAATTATCCAGCCTCTAAATACACGTAGCACCGTTTGTATTTTGTAGATGGAGATTGGGGAACGTGAAGGCTGCATGGGTTTTCGACTAGTGATCTGCAAGGTGGTGATCAACTGCACGAATGTATAGTTCAAGGCTATAGAACTCCAAGTTCAAGGCTATAGGGTATAGTTATAAATCCAAGCAATGCATGCAAACATGTATTGTACATAAAATCCACTCCGCAGCCTACTCTGTTCTTGCGGACTACATGTGCACGAAGATGATAGTTGCCTTTTGGAACAGCTTTACCATACGGGAAACTGAGCCTGCCCAAAGGCCTATGATGACGGTCTTATTTCAGATTAGATCAGGGACGAGGGTGCCCCGGGCGAGGCCAGACGGACTGGCTCGATAGGTGTCAGAGCGCCGAAAGCGGCGGCCTGCGCGGCGGCGTTCGGATCCTCAGGAGCCACCGGGATGGCGTCGCCCTGCGGCTGGAAACCCTTCTCGTCGGCCACCCAGTTGATGGTGATGGTCTGACCCTCAGGGGTCTGGAAGCTGTACGATCCCTGCATGACGACAGCGATTTCCTCTCCGATTTGTTTGGGTTGTCCTGCCACGTCCTGCTGGATCGGGTCGGTGGTCTCGAAGCCGTACTGGAACGAGCCGTCCTCGTTCATGGTTGACTCCATGCGCAGGATGCCGGCATCCTCGAGCGTCTTGTACTGGGGCTCCAGGTCCTGGGGCCGGGCGGCCGCCAGCACCACCAGAGAAGCCAGCAGGAACTGCAATACAGATTGATGTTCAGCTTTGCATTTGACTTACATAGTCAAGTTTATCTAACTAAAGAAACACATCACACATGAATGCTATTTTCAGTCGAAGCGCGGTGACGTATCAGCATTGCAATGTATAACCTAATGCCGGCCTGCTATTGCAATCTTATGCAAAGTTTTGCTTCTTAAGTAGCAATTTCGCTAATAATCTTTTGTAACTTAAATGTGACGCATGCAATGTAATGCATGCGTGATGTAATGCAATGCGTGGCGGTGCATTTATATAACAAGCGGTTATTTCACAAAGTAGTCACAATGCCATGACAAAATCAATGACCAGTCGAAGCGGGCGTCTAATACACCGGAATGACATAGAGGAGTTGTAACTCACCAGTTTCATTGTCGAGTCTGCGGATCAGGTAATAACTGACGGCTGCAGAGACTCCCTGAGCCCTTTTATACCGCACCAAAGCCTGCGGCATGTCAGAATGGCCAATCCGCAAAAATGGGACATCGAAAACCTGTTTCTGCGTGATTTACCCATTCTGCATATGGCTTTATCCGGCATGGAAGCTATGTTCATACTCCATGTTGTGATTGCAGTAGCAATGCGATTATGGTTACATCGAAACCCAGCCCAGTACGTGTTAAAGGTAGTGTGCCAGCTTTCCTGGACCGTATGGAGTTAATGGCCCAGATAAGGAGAACCGGATTTTTAGAACTTATCCATACCTTCAAAACTCATGGAAACGTCTTAAATTCTTCAAATTTTGAGTACCCCAGTGCGAAATTCGCCCCGACGGGTTGTCGGTCGTACCCCAACCACATTTCACACCACTATGAACAATAAACGCACACACTGAAATCGCTATTACCGATATGCTCATCCAATCAAGTTTCGATAAACCCGTTCATCATCATCTCCTGCGGTTTCGAACACGCCTGTTAGGTGGTGCGGTAGACCGCGCCCAAAGCCAGGGTCCCGGTAACGTGAGGTAGCCGAGTCGGGGCAGCGTGCGCTGACCCAAGCCGGGGCCGCGCGTCCTCCCGGTGTCATATGATAGCCCGGGGCTGCCCGCGGGGATGCGGTAGACCGCGCCCAAAGCTGCGGCCCCGGCTTGGGTCAGCGCACGCTGCCCCGACTCGGCTACCTCACGTTACCGGGGCCCCTGGCTTTGGGCACGGCTTCTGCTCATACTTTGTGGTGCGGTGGTGGTGCGTCGGGCCGCGCGCTCTGACTTCGGCCAAGAAAAATGCGTCAGCTGATCATTGTAATTTCTGCCACTTGCGTGTGGTGAAATGGGGTCATAACTTAAGAGACGGCTTTTTCATATCAATTATTTTACATAAAATCATATTTCAAACCATAAATAATGTTCGACAGCCAAATAAAAGAAACAATACCAATACAGGCTTACAGTTTAAGGCTCGACATTGTGTTGTCTACGATTAGACAGCTGATAACTCATTCCCGTACGTCGTAACTCTATAATGACCTTTCCTTATTGTCACATGTGCGCCGCATTCGCGATTGTTGCCGACGCCCATAGATATAAATACCGACACCTGTTTGCAGGTTAGCCCACTACAGTTGTTATACATATCGAAAAACCGATAAACTTTTAGGCGAAAAAGGCACTATTCCAGGCCCATTTTTGATTTTTTTTTTGCGATATTAGGTAAAAACAGAAGCTTCTTATCCTAGGAAAAATAAAATGGGAAATCTTTCAAAGGTGGCACACTACCTTTAAAGCTAAACATTAGCTTTGCTAAGTGGGACTTTAAAGTAATCTTACATACTTTTACTCAGGTTGATAAATTAATTGCATACCTACTTTTTCAGAAGCTGTAAAGTATAACATTTAAAGCTTTGCTGCTTTGATATGATCATAAAAGTGTAGTATTTACATTTTGTACTGTTATATTAACATGCATGTTAGCACATTTTCTATTTTTCGGTCACCTTTCGCAGAAATTCAACAAGTTATTGTTTTGCCACAAAGTAAAAGTATGCATTATTCTTAGCCTCATTCTATTCATGTATGCATTATTCTTAGTCTCAGAAATATCACGTAGTGAAAGTGGTACCTGTGACCCCTGTTTATGCCCCTGAGGTCATTCCAGGTCACGAATGGTATTTAACAGTTTTTCGCGAATAACTTTTGATAGAGGCACGCTAGAGCGATGAAAACGCATTGGTTGTGTTCAGTTCGACTATGCGGATCGACTGATACGCACCATGACCCTTTCGGGTCAGGTCATGACCTTGAGCTGAGGTCAAATTTTCAAATTGACCTATCAAGGTCAAATTATAGTATATTTGATGCGTCTTGATAAGTGGAACACGATGCAGGTAAAAGCAATCTCGTGCAATGCCTGAGTCAAAAGTTATTGCAGAAAACTGTTTCCGAAAAAAAAAATCGGATATTTTAGCAGTTTTTGCCCCCTGCAGGCAAAACCGTTGATATTAGGTCAAATCTGAGAATAAGCTCAGAAAGGGCGTTAATAGGGCTACCGAATGCGCTCTTCCGCAGCGCTGTAGCTCTATTGTTTCTAGAGTTATGCGCTGACTTCTTGGAAATTGTCCACATTCGACCTGAAAATCGGCGAAATTTTGCCTGCAATGACCTCTGGCGACCTGACCTTTGACCTGACCAATAAAGTGACCGTAGTGTTTTCGTCATTATTTTTGGCGCTCTTTCGAACGCCGTCTTCCGAGTATCGCTACGTGGCCCAGGACCGAGTTAGAAAGGTCAAACCCCCACCCCCCTCAGCATGGCGTGGCAATCCAGGACCCCCAGTGGGGCGCGGGCTAGTAAAATGTTTCGCTTACTTTAAGGTAGTGCTCTTATGCTTCATAGTTTAAGACAAACCTGCCAGGGTATTGTTTTGCACTGCTAACCAATTTCAGGCATTTTGCATTAAAGGGACTGTCCCACCTTTGCATTAGTTCTGAGTTGAGATAGCCAAGTTGGCGGCCAGGTTCAGAAACCACTATATATCCTGGTCGCAATATCCTCAGCTTCGTGGTGTTAAAGAAATTCGTTCCCTTCGTTTGAAAAGTGGGCCTTAGCTAAGGCCCTATCTCTTAACTATTAACGGCCATTTGATGACGTCATTTGCATTTTGAACGCCTGTCACGCATGTGAAGTTTCACTTGAGTTACGAATAAGCTAATCAGAGACACTTGTTATTGTATGAGCCGCGTCATATTTGAGAGCAAATACCTATATTTGCTGCCAAATTTCCCCCACATTGACATGAAGTAAATCCTTCATTACGTCACAGAACCGATCTAAATGACGTCACGATGAAATATAAAAGTCGCAATATCTCAAAAAGTATACAATGAAAACGCGTAAAAACCTGCAGAATTCGTCACAATATCATGAGTAACATTTCCGAATCCTAAATGGTGCTTTTTTGAAGGTGGGATAGTCCCTTTAATGTCATGCCTCTTAGCTCCATACCGTTAACTAAAATTCGTTGTAAACATGAGCTCAAAAACAGTGTATTTTTCATTGTGCAGTCATGGTGACAATTTCATCAGGCGCTCTCAGACGCCACTACTTGAACTCCTCTGAAGACAGCACCGGTGCCTGGGCATTGATGCCCTGTGGAATGGCGTCGCCCTGCGGCTGGAAGCCCTTCTCGTCGGCCACCCAGTTGACGGTGATGGTCTGACCCTCAGGTGTCTGGAAGCTGTACGATCCCTGCATGACGATGCCGATCTCCTCTCCGATTTGTTTGGGTTGTCCGGCCACGTCCTGCTGGATCGGGTCGGTGGTCTCGAAGCCGTACTGGAACGAGCCGTCCTCACTCTGACTCATTTCCATACGCAGGATGCCGGCCTCCTCGAGAGTCTTGAACTGGGGACGGTTTTCCTGGAACTCCTGTGGCTGGGCGGCGGCCAGAGCCACCAGAGCGCAGACCACCAGCTGTCGGCGGAGAAGACACAATCAGAGGAGGACATCCCCTCGAAGAAGATGAGTTCAGACGGTTTGGACATCTGCTTAGAGGAGACGAAATTATTGGTGAAAGTGTGAAGGGAAAATGATGGTTGGCGAGGCGATCAGTGGGAGACCAAAATGGGACGAGGCTTGGTGGAAGACTGGTCAAAGTAATGCTAGGACGTGCCCTGGCTAGGACAATACGGAAGACTAAGACAAGGGGAGATGAGGCTGTGATGGCCACCGGGTCAAAGTGACGTGGTCGTGGGGGCTGGAGAATTGTGGTCATTACTGAGGGCGACAGGAACAGAAGCGAAACAGGAGTTCAGTCGTAAAAGTAAAGAATAGATCAGCTCGAATATTGTATGTTTTTAAAACTGACCCACTCACCAGTTTCATATTGTCTTGTTGGTTGTAACGAGTGAACTATCCCTCTGCGCTTCTCGCTGCACTTTTATACCTACGCTGATCCTATAGTTTTTGTCTAAATGTTTATGTTCGCTGATAATCCTTGCCTGTTGCTATGTCAACCATCTCCCGTTAGAACGTCGCGGCATATATTGACAGATGCGTCCACTGCGTCTCGTAGCGGTAAATCCGGATTAGTGCGATGGTTGCGGGTACACTTTATATCTTCCAGCGTATCCTTGATAGCTGATGTTGTAATGCAATCCCCAGAATCGCACTTGGGCTCCCAGCGTCGCAAGAAATGTACCTATAAGTTGCTTGGAATAAGTCAAGTAAAAACAATAACAGCGCCATAAAAAGCATTAGGAACATGTTATTTCTAAAATAGAAGGTAAAGCCTAGGACTTGTACAGAGGTAACAATAGCATAAAGCGAACATGCAAACTGCTGAATCCCTTGTCGTTTTTTCTCTATGATTCGTTTTTATCAAGTCCCGTCTTTAAGCTAACTCAGCCAAGTTATGCCGGCAGCGTCTGTGCTTCCCTGTGATGCTTTACCAAACAGTAGCACTATCTTATTAACTTACCACCAACTAATCCCAGATAAGCCCAAATCTTAACCCGCGCGGGGCTGGGGGGGGTAAATTTTACCCCCTCGCGAATTTTTGCGATATCTCAAAAACGGCGGCGCGCAGCGCCGCCAAACTTTCAGTACCTTTTCTTACATCAATTTGACACGTTCCCTGAAAATTTGAGCGAAATCCGTCGGAAATTTTTTGAGAAATTGACGTTTTAGTGACGTCATGTTCGCCATTTTCGCCTCAAAAACGGCAAAAGTTCAAACGCCGCTAACATCTTCATTTTTAAAGGAATCAAGACGTAACAAAAAAGGTTATACGTAATTTTACTTTGTCTATCAAATGGCTATCTCGGTTTTTTGAAAATTTTGGATTTTGGCCTACATTTTTTCAAAAAAAACTGACTTTTTTGGGAAAATCATTATAAAATCCAAAATTATAAGTCTATCGAAAAAACCGGAATATATGTCAGAGAAGTGGTCTATGTGCACCAACATACCAAATTTTAGAAGAATCGGTTCAAAAATGTGGGAGTTATTCAAAATTTTATGACGTCACGACACACAAAATTTTTGAAAAATGACTTTTTTGGAAGTTCTAGACCTCGAACGGAAACAAAAATAGCACCATTCGATTTGCCGTGAAAAACTGCATCAGATAGACACCTTTTTAGGCCTTAACAACCAACTTCAAAATTTGACCTCACTTGACCTGACCTTGACCTGACCTCGACCTGAAATTCATCCAGAGGTGGTCAATATCACTAATTGAGTGTGCCTATTGAATTCTATGAGTAAAATGACCCATAAAACATGTGTCGCACATGCCCTTTTCTATATTTTGTTTTTTGGTGACCTGACCTGACCTGACCTGACCTTGACCTTGACCTCTGAATGATATTGTATGCAACGAATATTGTCTTGGTAGCCTAAGAACACGTTTTGGGCGATCAGTCTCAGTCCATGACTCCATTCTTCGGTAACTACGGTGCAAGGCCGATACTGTAGAAACTTGCAATTTGTACCCTTGACCTGACCTTGACCTTGACCTCAAACTTTAAATTAAGTACATGTTTTTAGTATTTCGTGATGAGAGCTTTCGATTGGCGTTTGAATTTTCCAAATCGGACCATTAGTTCGGGAGATAACAGGGGGGGTAAAATTTACCCCCCCCCCCCCAGCCCCGCGCGTTCGGCTGGAGACCCCAGCCCCGCGCGGGTTAATACAGCAAGCTTCTAAAAAAAAAACAAGTTTCAGAGCTCATTTATCTGCCACAGTGGATAAGCTTAGCCTTTTACAAGGATCAGTTTAGTAGAACGCGCCCTTTCAAGCCATGCATCCTTGCTGACGCTCATTTTTATACAGAGCGGTGTGTTAGGGTCGGCCCCGTTATTACCTTTGACAACCACTGATCCTTGTTAGTTGAGTATATTCCTCATCTAATCTGGCAATTCAGAAGCTAAATTGTCATCCCTGACAAGACGCATCGGTGTATAAAATTTTGTGCACATACACATTACACAGCTTGTATAGTTATTTCTCGTACATTCGCCGGTATAGTATGATGTGGAAGCGTATGCACACATTCCCAATACATGCTTAAAAACAGGACTTATCCGTATATGTGTCTGACGCACTGTGCGATATCGTGAGCTCTCCAGATTAAAGGGACCCTCCCACCTTAACATTAGATTTGAGTTGAGATAGCCAAAATGGGGTCCCTGGCTCACAATTACCGGTTTCGGCACTCACAACATCGAGAAATGCCTTAAATCGGAAATATTGAATTTCAAAATTGCAGCATTTTGATTCAGAGGGGCTAATGCATAAAAATACCCCTCTGAATGTGTGACGTCAGCGCAGATATCTAACGATTTTTAAATGTTTGACTAAAACGTTTTGTAGCACGCGGTGGTATACGCTATTTGTGCGCAATATCTGCCGCAAACGCCGCACTTCTAAAATAAAGTCGCTAGAAACAGCGTAGATCCCAAAAAAAGTAAACAAAAGTAAAAGTCTAATATCTTGAAAACCGGTGAATATTTTTCGGTGAAATTTGGTAGATATTCGTTTTCGCTCTTTCTGAACCGAGCGACATCACTTTCATGCCAATTCATAAACTTTTTTGAAGGTGGGAGGGTCCCTTTAAGCCCAACAACCATGGTATCATATAAATCTACTAAAAATACTCCGTTTTTTCCACGTGCATTGATTTTGCTTAAATGTTGTTAGGGTCCTCTATTCGCAAAAGAAATCCGTCTAACTTTTTTGAGAAGCCCGGTATGTATAATATAAGAGGGATATCAGGCATTGTCAAACACATGTGGCGACCATGAGCCTTTAATTTTGTTACGCCAGGCTGTTCTTGCAAACATGACTGTGACGCATATAAAACTGATCGTCAGTCAAATATTGTATGTATGTATGTATGTATGTATGTATTTACGATCATGGGCGATCCACACATGGCATGGCGATTACTGCCCTCTATTGCTTTGCTTCCTCGTGAACCCATTCAAACACTCGCCAATGTTCCTATTTCTAAACACCGTACAGATTGCTGCTGATATATATTGCATGCATTTCTATGCCTACATACACACAGCATACAAGTGACCGCGAGCGCATTATGACATAAAGACTGAGGACATTCGGGTGCGGGTCGCCGGGTGGCCGGATGGAGGCCTCTGGGCGGTGGCTGAACGGTTGGTGTCACGGACGTCAGACCTCACCCAGGGATCCAGGGGATGGTCTGGTACTCGGTTCTGTATGGACTTAGACTGACGGAGCCACCGGGATGGCATCGCCCTCCGGCTGGTAACCCTTCTCGTCGGCCACCCAGTTGATGGTGATGGTCTGACCCTCAGGAGTCTGGAAGCTGTACGATCCCTGCATGGCGATTCCAACTTCCTCTCCAATTTGTTTGGGCTGTCCGGCCACGTCCTGCTGGATCGGGTCGGTGGTCTCAAAGCCATACTGGAACGAGCCGTCCTCGTTCATGGTCGAATCCATGCGCAGGATGCCGGCATCTTCCAGGGTCTTGAACTGGGGCTCCAGGTCCTGGGGCCGGGCGGCCGCCAGCACCACCAGAGAAGCCAGCAGGAACTGCAAATGAACAAAGTAAAGATTATCATTCTATTTTTAACAAGAGCAAGCAATTCAGGGGCATCTCTGCATATACCTGCAAGAAGGATTATGATGTATGAATGCAGAGGCAGTGGCGTACCAGTAATAAAAAGCGACGATTGATGGCACAATCTCTTTAACGGGGAATATTTGTTTCTGGTCCCTAAAAAGCTGTTTCTGGCACCTAATTGCTGATCAGCCCCAAAATGCTTATTCGACCCTAATATCTGAATCTGGCACCTAATTGCTTCCACACAGCCTAAAGTTGCCAGATCGTCTAGTTGAACTCCGTATTTGCTGTTTGCTGATTCAGCACAAAACCAAAACATCCAGCACCTATTTTATTCCACGTTTGCCTACCTAATTCGCGTAATCTTCCTGATTTTATGTATCCTAACAACATGAACGTTGCATTCGGTGATGTCAAGTGCCATTTTCGCCAGTGGAGATAATGATTAATGCCATTTCTAGCCAAAAGAGAATCACTAGCCAGCTATGGTGCAGCATAGCAAGACGCTCATATACCAGCCCGCTATGTAGAGACTAGAGATTATTGCACCCTCAGCCATTTTAACGTGAAAAGTTTGGATCCGTCACTTCCAGCCAGGCTCTCAGTTCATAAACTGGAGTAAAGCAAAATGTCAACTCTGAACAGACATGCCACGCAACCGGCCCTCTTTTCAATATTATTAGCTTTCTGCAATCATCGTCTGACTCCATCTCGATCAAACGCAGCATCCGGTTTCTAAGGGGCGTTTGACTGACCGGCCACACAATAACCAAAAACAAAATCAAAGCTTCATGCACACATATGACATAAGCAGCCCCCTCCAAAGTCATATGGCAGCATGGGCGTGACTTTTCCTACTAGCCCATAGGGTTGCGTGTTAAAATGCGACTTTTCGCGCTCGATTTTCAAGGTTTCGTAGTGTGGGCATCCACATACAAAGTATGTCAAAAGATAGCTACAACATTTTTATTTCCATTTTTGGGACGAAAAGTTCAAGCCCATCCAACCGTTTTCGAGATATTCGTCTATATATGACCCCATGTTTTTGATACATCGGAAGGTCCTGTGTTCGAATCTCGGACAGCTCAAAACTTTTATCGTTAATGTGCGGCAAACCATTGCTGCAAAGTAAAGTAGGGGTGAGCGCGCTGGTGATGGAGTGTTGTAAGTTGGTATACCTGACCTTTGATTCAAGCCGGATTTTGCGGCACCAACCTCATTTTCAGGTCAGGTCAGGTCACTGACCTATGACGTCATAAGTGAACCTCTGCACGGTCTAAAAAACGTCGTAACATAGCTACTCCATCACTTCAAGGAGATCTATCACAGGTAGATGAAACTTACAGAACTTATCAAACTCCCTTATTCTCAAAAGTCGTTAACTTCGGATTTCTCCTAAGGGTCACCTAACGTCAGGTCGGTCAGGTGATCTGGCCATTATAAGCCGATAGGGGGGGGGGGGATATACAGCTATTTTGGCGCTGACAGTGATCTTAGACGGAAAAGAGACAAATAGACTCAGAAAGACCTGCCGAATTGAATAACGTGCAACTTGACCTCATCATGAGGTAATGACCTGACTTGACCTTGGACGGAGGTCAACATCGTAAAATACAAAAAGCATATCATTCGACGTGGCTGAGCATCACGAACACGATGGTGTCAAAATTGCAGCTCTGATACCATTTTAGGCGACTACCGAACAATCCACTTCCTGGTATGCCAATGCTTTTATTATCTAAAGACGATGAACACTGAACATTCTCATATATGCAAACATGCCACTTTGGGTTACAGAGTAAGTGGTTCCCAATGGTACTTACTACACGTTCCACACATCACACTACCGCTCGTAATTGCAATGCAAATAAGCTTTGGCTCGTTGGAAATAAACTTTGGCATTGGAAGATGTCACAGTATTACACTAAACATTGACCACAATTAGATATCAGGTATCAATATCAGTAACATTCAGCTCATCCTCAACACATAACAATCAGACGGAGAACACTACGGTAAACCTCAAAGAGGTTTTGGCCATGGTAGGCAATGAGGCATAGCTGCGAGCAGGATCTTCGATCTGAGAAAACATGATGAAATTACATGTATCACACTTGCAATAAAAACAAACTCAAGTGATACTTATCTTTGAAAAATCAGAATGAAAGAACATGAACCTATTTGAAAACATAACAAGCATTATCAGAGGAATAGTTAATGCATGGTTATTTAAAAGACCTGTTAATATTAAGGTAGTGGATTGTTAACAGGATCTTAGAATAGGCGAGAGATGTTACCTTCAGAAGGGTTTCCTTTCGTGGTCACACATTATTGATGTTAACAAATGAACACTGGGTGGCGCACACCCTGAAAGTGACAGCTTCACACAAGCTGTTGTTATGTTGAAAACTAGGTTTCCTTCCTGTTCAGATTAAGACAGTTGATGGCACCTTTGGTTAGCTTTGTTCAAGGAAGCATTCATTTTGCCAGTGTCGGTAGGGCAGCCTGGCTACATATGTATAGGAATCTTGAGCCAGGCACAGCATACATGGTAGTGCATGTCTTGTCCTGAAAAAGGATCAGAGATATATGGCTAAGGAAGTTATGAATGGAATTGACTCAGGCTGCTCTGAGGATGATTGACCACAAAGACATGGCTATTGTGAAAGCCCTGAAATAACTTATGAACTGGTGTGTTTTGAGTGAAGTGGAATATCAAGAACGGCATTAAAAAAGAAAGAGTAAAAATTGACCTAAAAATTATCTTCCATGTTTAGTTTCAATCACCTAAATCTTACGCGTTTTCATACAAACTAAAATTACCAAGAAATTGCACAATTATCACTAACATGTGGCAACAAATGCTTCTTTCTACTTACTATCCACTTTCATGGATGCAGGATGCATGTGTTTTGATTTCATTATCATAGCAACACAGTTGTACGAGATGCTCACACAAAGTATTATGTTATATGTTGATGTTATTCAGCTAGAGCCTGGGACAGTGATATTGTATTGTTAAGTTTGTTCAAAACCAATCCCAAAATTTGCCAGTTTTGGGGGGAAATGACATCTAACTGAAATCAATTTTCCACTTTCATCTCCAATTTTCAAGAACAATTTTTCACTCTGAAATAAAATTTTGGGACTCTGTTCACTGTTCATAAGTCATAACAACAGCTTCATTTCTTAGTAATGATAGCTTTCAGAAGACTTCAGTCTTCCTTCATCAGCCTGTCAGGGCTCTAAAAATACATACAAACAAGTAGTGACCAACATAGAAAAGACAATACACAAATGTCGTACGAAAGCTGCCATTGCAAATAGATAAAGCCGGTGTGCGCAATCTTTGCAATACGATTATACCAAATACCTATGCTCACAGCTAAGTCAAAAGGTGTCGCCATGCATCACAATTGATAAAATTCCTTGAAACTTCTTTTTTAACACATTGTTACGCAACAGTGAAAGAATGAGAAAGCATGAGGCTGGCCCACCACCCAGTCAAGTACAGCAGTTTACAAATTTGCATACACTTACTCAGAAAGGCCTTTGTTCACACAATTCCATGCATAATGAAGAGCCAATTTTTTAATGCACACGATAGTTATTAAATACTTGGCCAGCACAATTTGTAAGTCTTTAAGTGTAGGGAGAACACCATGGAACCGCGTGAAACCACAAGCCGCCTTGTGTATAAATATGAAGCGCAATGTATTGAAACACGAGCGCCAGCTGCGCCGCGCTTCAGCGCAGCCATATCCTAGGATAATTTTCGGTATATAGTAAAAAGCTCCCAGTTCTAGTTGTTTTTCTAGATGATATAGTATAATTCTAGTATATACTAGGAAAAACTTTGGAGTACCCGACTCTTTAGTGCCCTGGACATAAGCAGAAACGGATGAAAAAGGCACAACCACGCGTGGTTGTGCCGTGGCCACGGCACAACTCTGCGCGGCAAACAACGGACAATGTCCCGCGCAAGATCCCGCGTTTCTTCAGCGGCCTTGAACGGAATGAAAACATTACCTTTTTTAGCTATTTGATGACGTCAAAAAATACAATACCCGTTTTAATGGTCAAAATCGAGACAATTACTCACAAAAATGTTTCCCTTTAAGCATTACAAATAAATACTTTTAAATATTTAAATGACATTGTTTTTTCAAACAAATCAATATTATTTGCTTACTTAAACGTCATATACAATGCTGAGATCACTACGGGGCTGTCTTAGAGTGTAGCTGCACTGGCAACCATTAGGCTAGACTCCAGGGGTCATTATACCAGAACAACATGATTCTACCAGCCAGTAGTTCATTTTTCTACTAGATTGGTGCTACGCTCAGCATTTAGGTGCCAGATTCAGAAAAAAGAGTAAGGCGTACCGATGAATAGGTGCCAGAAACAGCTAATTAAGGTCATTTTCCATGATTGGTGCTGGTATCCACCAAATAGGTGCTGAGGACCAATTTTGGGGCGAGTCAGCTTTTAGGTGCCAGAAATAGCTTTTCTGGGACGCAATTAAATGGCGTCCCTCTTTAACAATATATTATTTATTATGGTTGGCAACACATGCAGTCGCACCCAGAAAAGGCCGACGACCGCCGGCGTACTGCCTCACTATGTTTAATGGCTGATGCAGAGTTAAAGGCCTTTTTTATTTTTCCCTGATCCTTACCATTTCAGTTACGTTATGATAAATTAACTCCGACTCAAGATTTGTCAACAACATTTAATAACTGATCGTTAGGATATATGCAATGTGCTGCCAATTTTCCCTCAAGTGAAGGCGGATTAGGCATTGAGGTATTGTTAAATTGAGCTGACTTCCGTTATTTTGGACTTCACTGGTTTTTAATTGACATATATCTATTCCTATTCTTAAGTGATGCTTTGGACTAAAATTGAAATATCACAAAAGCAGAAAATGAAGATAATCAATGATGTTGGTGAAAGCACCGACAAGACAGCAAATATGTAGACACACACTAGCGAATGAAGAACAAGACAACTTACGAATTTCATGGTGGTGATTTCTGCGATTCGATGATCACTGATGACAGAAGAGACCACTGGTGGACTTTTATACTCGGCAGGGACGACGAGCCTAATCCGGCGGCATGGAATAGCGCAAGGAGCCAGTTTTGCGGTGCTTTATCATTGTGATGATGGCATTGGTTCTGATCGTCTGGCAGCGAGCCAGTAGTGTTCTGATGCTGCTCACTGTCGTTTAACCCTCGCACCGACGGGGGGGGCGGATATCCGCCCGCCCTTAGGTTTTTCGCGAATAGCGGGAAAACCGCGGCGCTACGCGCCGCGAAATTTGGTATGACTATAACCTCATCAATTTTACACATGGTGTGCAAGTTTGAACCTCCTACCTTTTAAGGTCAGGTCACCAGGTCACTTTGAATGACCCAACCTCAAGTCACTTTTTTGCAACTTTGTCACCGTGCCAGAGCTACAGTAGATGTCGGAGGCCTTTGAAAGTCGCAGGATATTATTAGGTCATTAGTTGCTACAATTTGTATATCTCGGAATTTTGATATCGGTGACCTAAGGTCAGGTCAATTTCGCGACCTCCCCATTATAAGTCAATGGGGGAAAAATCAACTCCCTGTTTTTACCACTAAAACGGGTCGGAATGGCCCCATATACCATACATGACTTCATATACGATCAACCTTCACTACCTTGAGGTCTGTTTTGCTGTTGGGCAGCTGTGAGGTCATGTGACGTCATCAAAGGTCACCAAAGGTTTTTGGCCAATAACTCCGTACAGGAACAAGATACAGCCGCGTGGATGGTCTCATTGTGTTCAGCTCGTCAAGACGCATCGAATGATATACATGATGACCTCGAGGTCACGTGACCTGAGGTCAACCTTTGACCTTGACCTTTCGAGGTCAACATATATATCATTCGATGCGGATTGACGAGAGGATCACGATGATGCCCTTAGTTTGTTCCTATCTTGACTAATTCGAAAGTTATTCGAGAAAAACTCTCTCCATATCTAGCGCCGCCATTTTGACTTTTTCGACCCCTGTGACGTCATCTTTGACCTGACCTGAAAATGACCTTAGTAAAAATTGTAGATCTTGGCCGTGCGTATCCGATGCCGTTTACCGCTTGTCGCTATCTTGCTTCGTTCTCGAGATCTCGGGGGGGGGCGGTCATCCGCCCCCCCCCCCCCGTCGGTGCGAAGTTGGCGCAGACCCCCGTCGGTGCGCGGGTTAAGAATCAATGCGTGGAAGTTTGGCAATAAGAATAATGAGATATGCAGTTAGTAAGCCATATTTGGATATAAGGATTCCAAGAACAGGATTCTCTTCCATATACCTACCGTCACATTGAAGTATTATGATAACAGCTAAATCTGTTATGACAACAGATCTAATAGGCGATGTGGTGGTCTGTGGTTGGACAAATCCCAGCGCGCGTACATACTCGATCATAATCAACAGCATGAAGTCGAATAAAATGTAAAACGACATTGAAATTGTTTTGCACAATATTTGTTTTCCTGCTGGCACCTTAGGTTGATCATGTTTTTGGTGAGTGGTATCATTTTCCATTTTTACCGAGTAAAATAATGTCATTTTATAAAAGATTATTCAGAAATTATGAACTCTGAGAGTCTTGAAAAAATAACTAAGCTTTGTCAACACATGACATCGGAGGTCAAGCTCGTCCTGGATTTAACTTCACGAATGCTTATCATTGTTTTGCTTTTTTGCACTTTATAGATTTATGTAGATGCGAAAAAATATGACAGCCGCGCAGGATGGTAATAAGTCTCCTCGATCCTCGATCCCAGGCGTTAGTTAGGCTGATTGTAGAAATCTTTATACGTGGAAGACATGTAGTGCTAATGTATCTGATAAGTGCTACCTGGACTGGCTTTGTCACAATCCTTTTTACTCTTAACAGGTAATTCACCTCTGGGATAGATGTGTAATGTGTATATTATAATAAGTATTCATGACTTGCCTCAAAGCTTTCAGCCGGGTTTATCCAACATCCGTCTATGCACGCTTCTAAATCCGAGTCCAATGGTTTTAGAGCTATGAAGCTGTAATTTACTTGCGTGACGGTAGTTAAAGTCTTGGATTAGGAGCCGCTGAGTCTGAGATGCACAGTGATCGGGCCCAATGGGTGGGAGACGGAGGTATATAGCGGAGGAGTCGGCGATCGGCCGACACTGGCCTGCGCGCTCCGACCTGGCTCGTGCAGCTACGTACGACACGGACCCGACTCTGGCAACGATGACAAAACTCGTGAGTAGAAAACGTCACAGAGTGCACTCATGCAAAGCGCACCAATTGTACGCACCTACAGAGAAACAACAGTGCGCGATCTGTTTGAGTTATAAGAAATATTATTTGTGTTAAAAATAAGCTTATAAAAATGAATTTCTAATAAATTGCTAGATAAAGCGATTCTATGCTTGCTTTGGCACCGGCGATATCCACACCTCTGTAATTTGTATTTACTTTAATACTTTGCACTAAAGCTCTCCAATATTAAACAAATATCATAGAAATTGTGTTTTGTGTAAGTTTTTTTTAAAGCTAATCATTATTATAATCATTTCTGGACGGTACGGTAAACACACATGAGAGAGCAAGTTTAACGAGCCATCGTGATGAATGTAGTTTCATTTCTGAGGCAGATATTTTTTTGTACTTCTAGGGCATATCACGAAGCAAAATTGATCTTCGTACTATGTTTCATAAAGCTGCATTTTTTATTAGATAAAAAAGCATCATGATAAAAAATGTAAAGAAAAAGACTTGTAAGGTTTTCCTTTTCGTGTTAAGGACATTAAATGTTTCATTCCTTTTCAGGTACTGGTCTGCTGTTTGGTTGCGCTGGTGGCTGCGCGGCCACAGGATTTTGTAGACGACTCCGTCATCTACCAGGAGCCACGGCCCCAGTATAGGACCTTGGAAGACGCCGGCATTCTGCGCATGGAATCGTCAATGAACGAGGACGGCTCGTTCCAGTACGGCTTCGAGACCACCGACCCCATCCAGCAGGACGTGGCCGGACAGCCCAAACAAATCGGGGAGGAGATCGGCATCGTCATGCAGGGATCCTATAGCTTCCAGACTCCTGAGGGTCAGACCATCACCGTCAACTGGGTGGCCGACGAGAACGGCTTCCAGCCGCAGGGCGATGCCATTCCGGTGGACGCCAACGCCGCCGCGCAGGCCGCCGCCTTCGCCAACGCGCCGCAGCAGGTCACCTTCGACGAGCAGTTCTAATGGACTCGGCTGCACGGAGCCATAACACACAGTCTGCAAACGGGTGACCTGACCTGGACTGACCTGAACTGACCTGACCTGACCATTGTTCGGCGACCTGCACCGGTTGCCACCTGCTGGGTGCTGGATGCTGGACGATGATATGCTCTCACATTTGCCGTTATCTCGGTTAGCTATGTGCAAGTGTACATAATGTTTTCTGCAATACAAAGCATCGCCAATGTGTATTCTAAGAAGCCTCATGTCGATTCCCTCAGATGTTTCAAAGTTCAAACATTTCCTGAGTGAAGCTGGCTGAGAAAATTCTACAACATAACTATATAATTGTTTCTGATGCATATGAAATAATGCTCGCCCAAGGCAATTTTCATAGTCCGGCAGTTGCTGGGGTATTTCGCCACCCACCGTTTGCTGGGGAGGGGGGGGGGCGTTAAACGTCCCTAGCCGATAACTCGAGAACCAATAGGCGCAGCGAAACGCACGAGGCGGCGAACGAAAGAACGCGACAAGGCGCTTCAAGATGAGTTTTTGAAAGCTGAACTTTGAGGTCAAAGGTCGAATCAACATCTCGTCAAACGCCTGAAATTGGGCTTTCAGTAGCATGGAGTTAGAACCTCTCCGTTATCTCATCTCGCTCTTTTAACCCTCGCACGACCAGGCCATTTCTCATAACACGAACGACCAGGGGGGGGGGGGGGGGGGTTGTTACGACCCCCCCCCTGGCGTTTCGAAACGGAAGGTCGTAGAGCTTAGCGGAAAAAACCAACGGATTGCTCTCAACGAGATCTCGCGATTGGTGGTATATTTTTTGGTCCTAGGTCAACATTTGACCTACTTTTGACCGGTCAAAGGTCAAATTTTCGGAAAAATAGACTTTTTTCAACTTTCGGCGGCGATTGCGGCAAAACGGTGGGAGATATCGACTTGAAACCTTCACTATCGTGTTCCTTGATCAATTCTCTATCGTTTGGTATGTATTTCGTTTCCCTAGTTCTAAAAATGGCGCGTTGGGAGCGCCGGAAGTCGGCAAGGTCACAGTCGGCGGCAGAAATTCGAAAAATCAAAATTTAAATTTTTGAAATCTGATTGTATTTTTGGATTTGGGAGGTCCATTTGCTCCCTATAGAAGCTAATATTGCTGCATATTCCCATTGAGGTGACAAGAATTAGCAAAATAGTGGTTCGGGCCATAGATATAAAGACTAGATAGGGCACCCCCATGTCGGGAGCGACTCGCGAATACGTAGCAGCGGCCGCCATGTTGGTGAGGGCGAGAATCTGCGGCGCTGTGTAAACACTATGGGAGGAGGGGGGTGTTTGGGACAGATTTTGTGGTATTTTTCGACCGAAAAGTGTTAATCTTTTTTACCTATGGCATTCTTTGGAATGAGTAGATTGTGAAACAAGGGCAGAAACATGTGTATTTATAGTAATGTAATTACATCAGCCCTAGACATATAGCCCTGAAGACGCTGATAAAGGATATGCGGCACCGAAGGTAGATGCAATTGGCATGCTAATTTAAGATTAAATTCGTTTCCCATTATGGCTACCATACTTTATATCTATGTATGCAGTATGCAATGGACAATGATCGACAATAAGTGCAATTTTAGCCCTCACCCGTTCGTAGTTTGTCAGCGTCTTACGAGTAGGGGAAGCCAGGGTGAACGGAGTGAACTCCAGCCGTTCGCCCCTCGACGGAGCAAGAACGGACAAAAATAGGTATGCTGTCCGCGATGTGAGTAAACCAGTGATACAAAATTTCAGGGTACTAGGTCAACGGGTGAACTCAGAGGTCAGGTCAAACACTGGAAATCGAACCAGTAAAGTCACTGGAGTTTGAGATCTTTCGCTATAAAATCGACCAAAACGCGTGAACTGTCGGCGAAATGGGTTACATCATTCCCAATCAACCTCATCTCGAAATCTAGCGAACCGGGTCACATAAGGTCATACAAGGTCAGCGACCTTAGATGACCTCGGATGGCCTTGACACATGGCGGGTCATGTGAAGTGTATTTATGGGCGCCGATCTCGAATCCCGTGTCAATCTTACTTTAAAAAATGATTTGCGGGCACAAATCCGCAAACATAATTAAGGATTACGAATAAAATGAGCAAGAGGCTCCGAAAACTGCCCATATGAAGCGCAGCCTTGACCTCGAGGCAAATGCACGTTATCTAGACATCAACACTAAAAAAACGCATGTAAAATGCATAAACATGCACTAGAAGGCAAGGAAATTCACCCGGATGCGGCAAATCGCAAAATCCGCTTATTTTAGCCGAACATGACCTGGCCCGAGCTCCGATGACCCATTCCTCACTTTGAATCAATCCGCGCCCCCTACAGGCACCGACATCGCCCTTGCAGACAGCACCGACGATAGTCGCACAGGCACGTGGCGAGCTAGTGTAACTGTAGCCGCGCCTTCAGCCACGAACACCAGTTTGTGCCGGATCAGCCAGTCACGGAGCAGAGACGGCCGGCAACGAATCGGCAATTAACAGTGCTACATATCGACACGGTCACAAGAGGCGAGGCGTTAACCCAGCGCCCACTGCATTGGTCGCCAGTGGACCCACTCAGTCACTAAGCAATCATCGACAAAATACGTCTTTTATCGGCCAGACATTGATATGTTCATTAATATGAAGTGTCCATCCAAATCCACGCTATCCGCCACACAGCAGCTATCGACGGTAGATACCCACTCCAGCGGCAGCTGGCCGCGACTCACTGACACCGGCTAGAGACAGCTGACCGCTGAAATCACCAACACTTCGGCAGGGTATGAGCGGGTCTCAGTCAGATCCCAGGCATGTAACCCGTCCCCACCTTAGCTCATCTGGCAGAGATGATGAAGAGGTGGTAAAGCTGTGTCATGTCGTCCGGCTGGATGTCGCTCACCAGGGCCTCCTGACAGGTGCTACAGCTGACAGAGTCGAGCGCCTTCTTCACCACGAACCCTGCGATGTAGGTGACGATGTTGCCCACCAGACGACAGCCCAGGCTGGAAGTCGTGCTCCGCGATGATGTGGAGTGCCGTGGCACCGTTGTCTGAGGTGGTGGAGGCCGAGGTAGTAAGGCTGGCTCCCCGTCCGCTGGTCGTGTGACCGACTGCCAGGATGCTGGTCGGGTCGAGGGCTGCCACTTTCCCTGTGCTGCCGGGCCGGACGCCGCAGCGGTGGAGCAGGTGCCGGAATATCCCGCAGAACTGTGCGGCACTGGGGTTGTTCCAGCCACCTGGAAGGTTCGATTAGTATCAATAAAATATGGCTAATAGTGTTTAGTGTTAACATACGCCAGGCACAAGTGTTGTATTTGTTGTTAACACATTGTTGACACACACGCAAACGCACACACACACGCACACACACACACACACATGTTGGCAATGGTAAAGCAGTCTCCGGGCATTTGGTAATAATTTTTTGCACTTATTCTGGTTTTAGTGACTGATGGGCCTTTACCCACGCATGACTGGAGGGTGGGGCTCTACAGAGCCCCTCTCCTGTTTTCTGCAATAAAATATTTACATTTATATATTGAAAAAATTAAAATATATATTTGTTGCAATATTTCTAAACCACTAGACGTGTCAATACGAAACTTGCAGTACCTTCGGCTGCATCAATCTGAAACATTTTATAGAAATAAAAATTGTGTAGCTACCATAGGTCGGCCGTAAATGACGTCAGAGTGATCAGTGAAGTCATATTCTGCCAATTTTGATGCAAGAAATTGAACTACAGCAATCGCTCTCGGTGACAGATAACCTGTAACAATATAAAAAAATGAAGAGTCTGTAGCTTTTACTTGCCAATGCAGGGTGATCTCTTGACTCTTGAGCCTCATCCCTGGTTTGTCAGCAATCAAATCCTGCACATCTATTTGGCATCTTGATTCTTGAGAGACTGAGAGGCAAATTTCAATTTCAAAAGATACTAGTCTTTAAAGCTGAAACATATTAACAGTTAGTCAGATCAAAACAAGGCCTGTAGCATACAAGTGTAGGATACTGGATTTGCACACAGTACACACTACAAAATACACATAGCAAACAGTGAGATTACAGTCATGGAAAAGCATCAGGTTTTTTAAATAATAGTTTACACAGACTTAAATACAATAATTTAAATGAGCTTCAAATAAAATGAGAAGTGGATTGAAGTACCTAACAAATAAGGGTATCCATAAATCTGGTGCCACCGTCGGCACATATAAGGTTGGTAGGTTGTAGGTGGGTAGGTTGTAGGTATGGAGGTTGTATGTAGGTTGAGGTTTGTAGGTTGTAGGTTAGTTAGGTTAGTAGGTAAGGTTAGGTCAAGTAAGATTATGATTTTTATCTTCCTTGGACTTCATATTTACTTGTTAGCACTTAGCATTGATGGTAACGCCAGATTTACTAATACCCTATTTACTGATACTGATAACAGGTGAGCCAAAAGAGCATGAAGTGTAGTTTAAGCTTTACAATGTGAAAACTAATTAGGTAATGACAATCTGAGTTTAGGTGCTCCAACTAACACACATTTTTACGTCACCCCTGTGCTGTTCATTATTGGGATCAAATGTGCGACACGGTTCACTGGTGCAGATATCACGACGTCTGGCATTTTCACTATCTATCAGCTCTGGTTGAGGGCATGGGCGCCGCCACCGGGGGGGACGGGGGGGACGCGTCCCCCCCACTCACAGAATGGAAGGGGGACGTCCCCCCCAAACTCATTACGGAGCGAGCGAAGCGAGCGTAGTCTTTCGTAGGTTAACGGAAATTTCTGAGTATGCCGTGGTCACGCTTTTGCTAGGCTTATATCTCAGCAACCACTTGATCGACTTACATGCGGTAATTTTTGTAGGGTAGCTAACGAGCATCGGACTATTCCCGATGCATGTGAGTGACCCCATATGCACGTGCCACGTGAAAAACGAAGAGGTGTCAGTGTTGTAACAATTTCAATATCTCGGCAACTACTGGGCCGCCATTGCGCTGAAAGTTGGCATGTAGGTAGGTATACCTACCCACTAGGCAATGCATATCCATGTGCCACAGTTGGGGTGCTGCTGCACGTGCGCACATGCAGGGGTCGATTCCAGATCTCGAGAACGGCTGAACCGATTATACTGAAATCTGATACATGGTTAGGGACCGGTTAGTAGGGTGCCGTGCAAAAGTCAGTTGGGACCCATTTTGCACGTGCGCACGTGCAGGGT